GCTGCCATTTGTGTTCATGAAAATGACCCATATATTCTCTCCCTGTATATATCATCTCCCTGGAAAGAAAATCCAGAAACACAGTAGCAGTGATAGCCTCTGTGGTAGAGAAGTGAAAGCCTGGAGGTCAGGGGTGGATGAGATAGGAGAAGGAGTTATTAGTCTCATATGTCCTTTTTTTTAAGATCGTATTTTTGCCATGGGCATTAATTACTTTTTCAAAACAATGATGAAATTTGTTATATTTGATAGTCTTGCAAACTTACTGTATTTGAAGCCAAAAGAAAATCAAGACCCTCGTAAATGTTACATCTAAATGATAAAAATTTAATGACCATCTATTTTGCAATTCTATTCTTGGCATAGCCCTATGCAATCTCTTGTTTGGATGGATATTCATGAAAATTTGTGGGTTGCAAAGGATACCTATACTTTCTGCTGGGAGAAGTTCACATTCCTTAGATATGAAATGTAGAAGGAAACAGAGTTGTGTGGATCACCAGTATAATAAGACCTTCAGAAATACAAACAAGTCTCCTGGATGTCTTATACGTTAGGAAAAGGGCCTCTGTGACCAAAGTATTTTGAATCTGTTTGCAAGGTCGAAATATTCTCTCATTGTTTAAAAAACAAAATCCTGTGTCAACAGACTCTACCCATCCTTAGCTGGCTGTATTTCTCAGTATTTTTTCTGGCTCCATCAAACAAATATATCCTAGTTTTAAAAAGCAATTATTTGAATATTCGGATTCATAGAAAAAGAAAAATAAAAGATTGTCTTCTTGCTTTATTTAAGAATTCCTTTAGATATCACACTAACAAACATATTTAAAATATAGTTCAATATAAAAAATTATACACAAATTTCAGGAACACCATCATCAAACACTCAGGAACTCAGTAATTACTTGCTGGTTGGATGAACATACCTATTGAAAATCAGTAGAGTGAAGTGGATAAGAGCGTGGGTTGGGGTCCAGATATCCCCGTGTTTGAATTCTATCTCTGCCGTTCAGTAACTGAGTATGACCTTCAACAAGTGACTTAACCTCTCAAGGCCTTAGTATTTCTTACAGAAATAAAATGGACAAGTAATGTCTCCTTTATAATTAGTTATAAATACAGGTAAATATAGTATCAGAATATTTTATCATGTATTATTTCCTTCACTTAATCTCTACTTGCCTAAATGGGAGCAAATGAATGGCAAAAATAAAACAAATGTTGCTATATTTCCAGAGATATAATACAGGTAAATACATTGATTTATTCAATCTGTATATACATGGCACATAGTAAATGTTTGGTAGATAAGGATTGTAATGGTGAAAAGTAATACAAAATCCTCTGAGGGTTTGATTAAAAGATCAATTTTGTGCATAACCTTTTAGGACATTGTATTGCACTAGCACAGAGAGGGGTTAAAATACTTTGTGTAACTGAGATTTTTATGACCTTAAAATTATGAGAAGGCAATTAACAGGTACATAAGTTAATCACGGCAGAGATTCAGCTTGTAACAATTGCTAACATCTATTTCGTGTATGATGATTAGTCATTCTGAAGAGTAAATACTGACTTAATATCCTTTCCAAGTATATTCTGTAGTGTTACCTGATTCCTACTTTCTTAATTAAAAATATTAAATGTAAATGTTTTATTTAATTTCCCAGAGTAGAATAGAATTTCGAGTGTTTGGAGTAGGAAAGGCAAAAATGGTACAAATTGCTTCAAATGTAAAGGCAAAGTGAAAGTCTCCCTAGGATGACTAAAAGTTTTTTTGTTTTTGTTTTTTTTCCTTTTCTGGCTTTTTCCCCCTTCCTTCTAGTACTTCCTATTTGTTTAATCAAGTTGAGAATTCTCGCAAAGGGCCTTATAAACACGTGTTATTAGATTTTAAATCTGATTTGAAAGTGCCTCTCTCCTACTCCCTCTGAGTAAAGTGACCTTTTTAAATGGAGGGAAGTGGGTTTAGATGACAGTCATGATAAATGCGGTCATGTTCACTCAATAAAATAAGGCCCAGTGCATTTGAGGATAAATCAGTGAAATGTACAGCCCCACCTGTCTGTCTCCATCATTCATTTCCACTGTCACTTTCACAGTGGCTGATGGATCACAGTTGCTGTAAAATTAGACAGCCTTTAATCTCATTTCATCCTGATTAGCTTCTCTTTCCCCTTTCCTCTAACTCACTGACTGACACGCTAAAAACTCACACTGGGCTGTATATGAGCATGGAGTACAAACCTCCTGCACTGCCTGCCTGTGATGGCAAGGCAGCTGTCCACCTCTGGAAAAATCTGGAAAGGAGCAGGCATGTATCCGTTGTTATTTAAAAGAGAATCAATAAGGGCAAGACCCGGGGCCATTTTAAATGATTATTTGCTTTTGCTCACTGCCCTCTCTATTTTGCTTTCCTTTCAGGTTTAATCAGAAGTCAAAGAAATTAGGGCTTTTGCAAAATCCAAATATTGATTGAATATAGATTTTTAAAAACTTGGGAGAGTTTTACATTCAGAATAATTACAGTGAGTTATTTGTGTATATTTATAGTCTCAATTCACGGTAATAATTCAGAAAAGATAGTAATTCAGGAATGAGGATACTGAACTTCTCGGCCAAGAAATATAGTATACAAGGTTTTAAAACAAGGGTAAAAATATGTAAATAAATGAGAATACCTTCAAGTAGCCTTTAAATTAGGACTCAAAAACCTTCTTTTCTCTTATTTTGAAAGTTCAATAGTTAGCTTAGTGCAATAGTTGCATTTGTTTGCATAAAGCATAACAATAGGGGTAATCAAATGAAAAAGAGGCTTAAAAATAAATCATGTATTATTTCCTTCACTTAATTTTTGCTTGCTTGAATAGAAGCAAATGAATGGCAAGAACAAAACACAAGTGTCATTTTATTTTCAGATACTGCACTTTGTTATGAAGCCGGACTTCTGGTTGTTATTTTTTGTTTTTGTTTTTAAGATAATGCAATTTTTGTAATTATTTATAGGATTTTGCCATTGAACTGATCAAAAGATGAAAAGAAATATTTGAAAAGTGGTGGTCATAGAATAAGATAATCATAATTGATGGTCTATATTCCTACTACATCTTATGTAAATTGATGCACACAGATACCAATTAATACTGCTTGTAAGTTTACAATGACTAGAAGACTTGACCATCAACTGGAGTAGCACCAGGTGGTTCAAAATATAATATGGGGTAACCTAGTTCTATTTTTGATATTTTGGAACCAGCATCATAATCCAAGCAAGGATGAGATAATTTTTTTTTAAATCTTCAAAATATATTCAAACTTAGTTGCTCAATGAGCCTAACATATTCGCTGCCCCAGTGAATTCTGGGTACTGAAGCCTACAGGACCTATATGGTTTAAAGCATTTTTCAAAGAGATAAACTGAGAATCGAGAGACTAAAGAACATTCCTGAGATGACTCTCTAAGTCCGTTGACCTAATTCATGGACTGCACAATCCACTGCCCACCCAATTTCTATATTACCCCCCAAACCAGGAGATTACATACTTATGCCTTCTCCCCTATGGATGTAAGTTTAAAAACAATGAATATTTACAGGACAAATAAATAAGTAAGCAATAAATAAAACAATCAAAACTCCTGCAATCCTTCAGTAAGAAGCTTAAATGATCTGATTTGCTTTTTCAGGAGCTGTGTTATAGTTCTCCAAGCTGCGCCTGTTTCTTATTCTTTTTATTTACATACTTTAGCCAGCATAAGTGCTTTCTGAGAAAAATAAAAGATAATAAAAACAAAATGAAATGAGAGAGATATATCACCCAAAATAAGTCAGATGTGACACTGGTCCTCCCCACCCCC